GTAGAGAGAAGGTCAGAGTCTTACTTTCTCCCATAAATGCACTGTGTAGCTCTAGGCAAGTTAGTTAACCTTCCTTTGCTACCTTTTCTCAATCTGGAAAATTGAGAAAATAATATTTTCCAATCACCTCTTGGCCTTTGGTAAGTGAGCAGAACAAGTCAACGTTCATCGAAAGAAGACAGAGGTCATAGCAGTGAAAGGCATCTCTTTGAGTGCAAAGAGTCCCAGACCAGTCCCAGACTGTGCCCCTGTCTGTGATTATTTCTATAAATACAGTATCTTAAAATGTATATCACTGGTGCTTGGAAAGGAAAAAAGTGTCCCCTGTATTTATTGTTTCTCCCCAGCAGGGACTGACAACAAAATTCTGAGCAGAAATTGGTGATGGAGTAAAGAGGTACATGCCAGATCTCTTGAATTGTGGTTCTGGGCTCCTTCCACCAGACTACATGGCCTCTATGGCATCTCTCCAGACTCTGAACAAAGATACCTCAATCTGATCAATGCCAGGGCCAAACTATGTATAGTACTCACGTAATATCAGCCCACCTCTCATACTAAACTAGCTTCTTAGTTTGTGGTTCTATTTACTTCAGCCATACCATTCTCATTCATCTCTGCTTCTATACAAGTCTCCATTCTGAATCAATCACACACCAACCAAATCCAATTGCAACTTTCACATTTGTCCCAGTTCCAGTCCCATTGCTGGCTCTTTCCATTTAATATGAGGGAAGGGCCTTTACTTTACAAAGATCTAAAGCAGGCCTGCACAGCCTGTGGCCTGTGGACTTCTTATGGCACACCAAAGAATTTCAGGCATCCCACAAAAAACATAGAAGATGTTTTCCTCTACATTTTTCAAGGGCCGCCTGAAATCCTTTGGCATGCCTCTGGGTTGCTTAAAGCTGTGAGCTGCTTACAGCTGTGGGCTGTAGGTTATGCAGGCCTGATCTAAAAGTACCATATCATAGGAAGTATAGGCCACTATGTGGCATCAAGTGGAAAAGAGTTTAAGCAGTGCCTGCAACTTTGCAAAATCAGTCCCCCTTGTGAAGCTCTCCATAGCACCAAGGTTACAGGAAACAGAATATAGTGGTGTCTAATTGAACTTCCACTTGTGCCAGGGTATTCACTGGAGCCAAATAATGGGAAAGGATTGCTGCTGAGGATGCACAGTAGGTGGAGGAGGACTTGGATTCAAGAATCAGAAGACCTAAGTTCAAATCCTTACTCTCATGCTGATGACCTTTATTACTTTGGGCAAGTCTTTTAACTTCTTGCAGTTCAATCTCCTCATCTCTAAGACAAAAGGGTTGGACTGGATAATCTCTGACTTCCCTTTTAGTGATAGGTCTATTTTCTATGGTCCCAGAAAAAGAATGTGGTTGGAAACTGTTTGAGGTTGGAAGGTACTATCTACCTACAGATGCACCTGAGGTGCATTTTCTACTCCTTCTACTGTTTTGTCATTGTGGTGAGTAAGGGGTTAGGATGCTTCTGAGTTCTGAGTTCCTGAGTTAAGGTCTGGATTGTGGCTTGTGATTTTTCAATGTACACAAAATTCATAGAGTATTGGGAGAAGTAAGTGATGATGAAGCTGTAGCCAGATTCCTCCCATCATCATCATCATCATCATCATCATCATCATCATCATCATCACCATCATAACAGATAAACTAATGTAGACAAGGTCAACAGCAAGCAACAGAGGATAATCATTGTATTGCAGCACCCATGTTAATGTGTCATCAAGAAAATGTGAACTCATAGTCATAAGATTTTAGAGATAGAAGGGACTTTACAGAACATCTAGTTCAATCCCATTTTATTATAGAAGAGCAAAATAAGACCCAGAAGGGGAAAGTGATTAGCCTAAAGTCACATAATATTTTTTTAAAATATACATTTTATGTACTTAAATACAGTTTTAAAAATACATTTATTTTCCCATATACTATAGATATTTCAAATTCTTACCACTGTCCCTACTTTGTGATAAGACAAACACAACCACAATTAAGAAAATAACTGATACAGATGTCAAGATTGGTAAATGGATTCTTTTAAAAAGCAGGGAAGCATAATACAGTTTAGAAAAGCTTCCAACAAAAATATTGAAAATTACATATCTGTAATTAGGGCAGCAATTACATGAATGAATGAATGAATGAATGAATGAATGAATAATTAATTAATTAATTAATGAGTCTGCCATCCTGTAACACAGATCATAAACCTACAGTGCCCATTCATCTACTATTTTGGTCCATTTCCTCTAGCAAATCTTGCAGCTGACATGTAGGTATTCCTTCAGGTGTCTTGACATTGCATGGATATCAAAGTAGAGAAGAGGCTCCCTCACTCTTGCTACATGACCAGAAATGTTGTTGTTGTTGTTGTTATTGCTTGTTTGTTTTTGTTTTCTCCAGTCATTCACTTTTAGGAAAACAATTTTTATAGCAAGATCCAAAGCTTAAGGAAGGAAAATCCAAAATATCTGGAAAATTGGACTATTTAAAATATCTCATTTTATTGCAGTTTCCAGATAGCCAACTATTACTGTACATATTGCAATTCATTATTTCACAAATTATCTCAACTGCATACGTCTTGTAGGATTATGAGGTAGTTGAGGGCAGACATGATACATATGTATCCAACTTGGATCTAATGCCCCCAATACCTAATACAAAATTAAGCACATAACATATATTCAGTAAATATTTGTTGATTAGCCACTAACTTTAAAGAATGTGAAGTCTCATGCACTTCTTGAATATAAGTGCATAATAATGATGAAAATAATAAGAAATAGACATCAACAAAGGAAATAGCAATTATGTTTCATTTCTGAAAATAATTATTTGCCAGCATAACAACGATGAGTTGAATTAGTCAATTACAACAGAATAAGTAGAAAACAACAATTATTTGATTCATTTCCAGAAAATGCTGATCACCCCAAAGATACATCCTAATTTCAATCATAGATTAAATGAACTCATTATATAGGCTACATTCTTCATGTCATTTTTTTTTTAGCATAACCCAAATATCCTTGAGGTTGGTTATTCCTTTTGGGCCAATGAGAAAACACTCATCAACATTTCTAGCAAACAGGGCAGAGAAAGGCAAGACATGTTTGCTTGGTTTTGAGGAATCTGGCTCTCAAGACCTATTGATTATATACATACATACATACATACATACATACATACATACATACATACACACACATACATACATACATACATATATACATATACATATACATATATACACATGTATATACAAATATACAGGTATAGATAGACACATATATACATACATACACACACACACATATATATGTTGGTTTTCTTCAATTGCATCAGTTCAGGTGAATTCCCTAAAAATGACAAAGCTGACACAGAGACATGTTACAAGCCAGTGGTCACAACAGTAATCAACAACTATTAAATGACTTTTAGAGACATAACCTTCCTCAATCTTGTCCAACCTCCACGGCTGTCTTTTTTGCCTCCATTCACTGGGAAGTATGGGAAATGAATGAAACAGTTCAGTAGAAAAGAGCCAGATTTTCCCAAAGTGAATAACATTGAAGAGAAGTGTCCCCCACCAAAAATAAATAAATAAATCATACAACCACTCTCACTTTATAAGAAAATAATGAAGTGGGGAGGATACATGAGGCAGAGAGAGAGGAGCTAGTTTTTCAGAGATAATGGAAATATCCTTCCCTCAACATGCTCCTGTCTAGGCAGTGCTTTGAGTTCAGAAAAGAGTGGATTGACCCCCAGAGGAGTGATCTGAAGTGTGTTATTTCAAATGTAAGTCTATTTAGGCACTAAAATGGAGAATGAATGACTTGTCCAAGGTCACAAAGCAAGCAAGAGGTAAATGTAAACAGGCCCTTGGATTCCAATTTCTGAGTCCTTGATCTATGGGCCAGGACAAAATTTCTCCCCAGAGCTGGAAAATGCATTATTTATGCCTTATTTTCATTAGTATGAGTGAGAATGTATTTTTCTGTTGATGACTTAGGGGAATCTCTTGATAATTTTTTTGTAAATATATAAAGCCTGCGGGAAGTATAGTATTCCCTTGCCGTTGTTTTGTCCTTACTCCATTCACCCAATTTGGATCCCTTCTATCTTCCCACCTCCTCCCCCACCCCATCCACTTTGGAATCCAGGTCTCCACTGCTTTGTAGCACCAAGGAGAGCCTAGATTGTTCCTTGAGCCCCAGTGATAGTCCTGATTCTTCCTTCCTTTAGATCTCTCTAAGGAAATGGCTCAGATGGTAGAAAGAAGCAGAGGATCTGGTGGTGTACCCCAGTATTTTTATGTTTCCATATAACAACACCTACTGGAACTAGTGAAAGGGCACCGCTCGCTGTCCTTGTCTCTCCAGAGCACGAATAGCATTTATCTCTGTGCAGCGGGCAGCGCCAACTCGGGTTTTTGTCAACCTGTCAATTTTTTTTCTTAAACAGAAAGCAGAGTTCAGTAAATAAAGATAAATGATTGTGCTCCTTCTCTGCAGACCCTGGAGCTAAACTGAACAGGCCTCTTATGGTTTGGCCCTGCTTCATTGACTGTTCAGACAGCCCAGTAATACGACAGATGTACCCAGCCGTTCCCTCTTCCCCGCTGTCCATTAGATTATGTTCATTTTGTCTGAGATGCCATTAGAAGTCTCAAGGTCAAAGAAGTCACAGAGAAGAAAAGAGGAGGACTAATTTTCCCCTGCAGCCCTTCATTGCCTGAAGAACCACTGGACAGGCAAGCATACACGTTTGCAAGGGGCTCAGAGTGGGGACTCAGCACAATTTACTTGAAATAAAATGCAGGTGTACCATTAACCCAGGCACATTTCTGGCAAACTGGTAGAACTAGGAATCAGACACATTATTTGAATCAGAGAGGAATATTATTTAGGATCCTTTCCCAAATGACAAATGCATTTTTGTTTGCTTGTTTGTTTTGTTTTAGACCAACGATGTATTGAGGAAGACCTGGTGGGACAGAGGGTACTTGCAATTTATTTTTAAGGTACTTTCAATCCCAAAGTCTGTTTTTCTTGGACTTTCCTTATGTCATCATGAAAATAACCTTTGTGAGAGTTACAAGAGGGACAATCCACCTAGACTTAACAAGAACAATACTTATTAACATACTTAAGTAGATTGTGTCTTGCTTCTGTTGAATTCAAAGCCTTTAAGAAACATTGCCATGCCACTTAGCAATCAGAATCAGAGACAGAATTTTAGGGTTCAAAAAGCTAATATAAGTCACTTAGTCTAATTATCCCTCATTTTACAAATGAAGATGCTATAGTGCTTTGCTTTAGTCTCTCATTGCCTCTTTGCAAGGGTTTCGCATCCTCAACTAGAGTTGGAGCTCCCCAAGAACAGAGATTCTTTCTCTCCTTTGGTTCCTTATGTAATCTAACACATGACATCACACACAGTAAGTACTTAATACTTGTTTATCACGTTACAATATAGATGTGCTGAAGCTGTAGCAATCAGAAACTGGGTAGAGATTTTTGAACAAATTAGACTGCATCCTTCTACCAACTTCTACCTAGGAAATGAGAAGAAAAAAAGAAGCTTCCCATCACTGGGTTATACTGAATTTGTGGTATCCAACATCTAGATATATGTCATTGCAGTCTCCAAGCCAACAACTGACATTTCAGACAGAGATTTAAAAAGAGGCGGCATTGCGTACATCATCATACACCACAATTTGAGTTCTAGCCTTGAATGTGAGCAATATGCATAGGACGTTGGTTGCCTTCTTTAGCCCTTAATTATGCACAGATTCCTAGGGCAACCATGATAATGGCGCCTTCTAATACAAAGGGCACACAAATATTTGTATCTCCCTATCCTCCCATTATATTGAAGATTTGCAAGATTTGCCTAGTGACAGAATAAGCACTTAATAAATGTTTTGATTTTTTTCCCATTTACTCATTCATTCAGTTATTCTTGGGGAAAGGAATCATATCTATATTTCTTCTTAATTAGTTTCATAGGATAAAAACATGGGAGGGAATCTTACAGATTATCTAATCCAATGTTCTCTTTTTACTGTTAAGCAAAAATAGACCCAGACAAATTAAGTAACTTGACCATGATCACATAGGTTTAATAATGGAGTTGAGATTTGAACCGAGGTCCATTGATTCAAATCCAATTTTCTATCTGATATTTTTAAAATACCTCTTAAAGTCAAGGAATATTTGAGTAAAAAGAGATATTTGAGAATAGGGTAGTACAAAGAACATTGGATTCACCATAAAAGGATTAGGTTTAAATCTGGCTTTTTTTTTAACTTTCTACCTGTATAACCTTGGGAAAGTCCCTTTTGGGACCCAGTTTTCTCATTTGCCAAATGAGGTGGATTAGTCAGTATCTAAAGTACTTATCATAAAATACTATATTCCAAGCAGTATGGGAGAAATTAGTTTTACACTAATACCTCACACTTTGACCAAGAAAAGCCCCAAATGGGTACATGACTTTGATTTAAGAGGTCATACATAAATACATTAGAGAAACATTGAAAAACTTATCAGTTTTATGGATAGGAAAAAATTTTATGATCAATCAAGGGATAGAGAGGATTACATAATATTAAAATGAATAATCCTAATTATATAAAATTTTTAATTTTTGCACAAACAAATTCAATACAACTAAGATTATAAGGGAAATATTTAACTGGGAAAAAATTCTTTGTAGCAAGCTTCACAGATAAAGGTGTTATTTCAATAACTATATAAGGAATTGATTCAAATTTATAAGAATAAGAGCCATTCCCCACTTGATAAAAAATCTAAGGAAATGAATGGGCAGTTCTCTAGGGAAGAAACCCAGACTACCTATAAAAATATGGGTGGTAGGGGGAGGGAATGCTACAAATCACTAATTAGAAAAAGGCAAATTAAAGTAAGTCTGAAATTTCATACCCATAAGATTAGCAAAGATGATAATTTAAAAAAAATAAAAAGGAAAATGGTAAGTGTTGGAGGGCTTGTGGGAAAACAGACAGACACATTGAGGCATTATTGGTGCACCTATGAATGAGCACAACCATTCTAGAAATCAATCTGAAATTACACACAAAATGTTAGTGAACAATGCATGCCCTTTGATTCAGCTAAAACATTGTTAGGCTTATATCAAAAAGAAGTGAAAGAAATTAGAAGATTTCCTATATGCTCAAAATCATTTATAGTAGCTCTTTATAGTGGTAAAACCCTGAAAACTAAAAGAACACCCATCAATAGGAAGGATGGGTGTGGTATATGAATATGCTGAAATACTATTGTGCTATTAAAAAAAAAGAGGAGAGAGAGACCAGTGAAGCTTAGAATGGTCAGGGAAGATTTCATGGAGCAGATGAGTCTGCTAGAATTGTATTGGTGAGGGCAATACAATCTTAGAACTGCAAGGGATCTAAGAAGTTATCTTCTCATATATCACCAATCATAGGATCTTAGATCCAGAAGAGGACTTTTATATCATATATCCAATCCTTCGTTTTAAAAATCAAGGAAATTGAAACTCAGAGAGGTTAGACAACTTAATCAAGATCACAAAGTGTGCTAATAGTGGTCAAATTTTGTGATTTTTTTTCTAACTCTTTTCACATCTCACATTTCCCTATCTGTGTTGTCACCCTGATATGAATTGGACCCTGAAGGATAGATGGGTTTTGGACAAGTGGAGATAGAGGTATACTATATTCTAGAAATTCCGTGCAGGTGAAACCACCTATGTATAAGGGGATGAATGTTCAAAATACATGCCAAGGAACTGTGAAGGAATTTACCTAGATAACAAATTTCTCTGACCTCAGCAAGGCATATGGAAGAAAGGATGAAAGATGGTGGGGAAGACATTGAATATGAAATGATGGTAGCTCCTCCATCAGGGCAACCTGATCACTGAGTTCTTGCTACTAAAGTTCTTTTAAGGTATAAATCTATGATTCTGTGAACATTTCAGAACACCAAGATCCAGCTAGCAATTGATTGATACCCAAATCTTTTCAGAGCATGTAATCTCAGTTTAGGAAAGTTTCAGGGAAGATGGAACATAGGGCATCAGGTAAATGATGGTTACATATACTGAAAGACTCTTGGACGGAACACATACTTTCCTGTTCCCATTCTGGAAGGCTCTAGCCACTGCTGAGCTTGTCACTTTCATGAGCACTAAATTCACTCAAATGTTAATGGATCTGAAAAAATAATTACAATGGTAACAAATTAGGGGTCTGTTACACTAACTAACTTTTCTCTATTAACAGAGAATTTACTTTGAGGAAGAATAGAAAGAGCCAAGTGAGCAGATTTCATAATTGCCAAACTTTATTTTCACTCTGCCTCCAACTTTCCCGGTGAAACAGAACATAAAGAAAGCCTTTTACAAATGGATAATTATATACTCACACATCTCATGATTATGAGTGCATAACCTTCTCTTTTCCTTCTCTAATGTGACTGAATACTATCATATAGATAGATGATTCTGGCCAATTGAAAAAGAAAATAACAAATTAAAGTCAAATGTCTATGTCTACATAAACTATATACCTCTATTTATATAACCTTGTGTTAATATTAATTTTCTTTTTGTCTGGAACTATGATTTTATTGGTGTGAGGAACTTTCTATTGTGGAAATTTTTCCCACCTTTGGGCAACCCTTCTGTAATTTAAAGTCTGAGAGAATGGCCTGGGACATTGAGGGAGTAAGCAAGCTCCTACTCACAAGACAGGATATGAGAGGCAAGCCTTAAACTGAGGTCTTTCTGACTCCAGGGCTGACCTTTTGTACATTATGCCACAGCCTCAATTATATTAAAACATCAATATTTATAGGAACTTGTAATTTAGAAAGTGTTTTATTTATTTGATTTTTTAACTGAAAGAGGATTTGAATGTTATCTAGTCAAACTCTGAGGCACAGAGAGATGAAATGAATTGTGCAAAGTCATACATAGAGGAGGTGGCATAGCTAGGACTGCAATTCGGATCATTAAGCTTCCATCCCAGTTTGCTTTCATTTACTTCAATCATAGTAAGTTGTGTTGCTAAGTTGAGAAGGGTAAGTTTTAACCAAAGATACACTTGGGATGCCAAACCAGGGACTTGATCTTGAATTGGTGCTCTTACACTTAGTAGACTGAGTTAAAACCACTTAACTTCTCTAAAATATCATACTTCTGCCACCAACCTCATATGATTGTTAGGAGAAAAGAATCAATCATCAACAGTTAATCAAGAAGTATTTGTTAAACTCCTTCTATGGTGCGGGGAATGAGAGAAGGAGAGGAGAGGAGAGGAGAGGAGAGGAGAGGAGAGGAGAGGAGAGGAGAGGAGAGGAGAGGAGAGGAGAGGAGAGGAGAGGAGAGGAGAGGAGGGGAGGGGGAGGAGGGAGGGGAGAGGAGGGGAGGAGAGGGAGGGGGAGGGGAGAGGAGGGAGAGGGAGGGAGGGGAGGAGAGGAGAGGGGAAGAGGGGAAGCGGAGGGGAGGAGAGGAGAGAGGGGAGGGGAGGGAGGGGAGGGGAGGGGGAGGGGAGGGGAGGGGAGGGGAGAGGGAGGAGAGGGGAGGGAGGGGAGGAGAGGAAGGGAGGGGAGGAGGAGGGGAGGGGGAGAGGGGAGGGGAGGGCAGGAGAGGGGAGGGAGGAGAGGAGAGGAGGGGAGGGCAGGAGAGGGGAGGGGAGGAGGAGAGGGAGGGGAGGGGGGGAGGGAGGGGAGGGGAGGGGAGGAGGAGAGGGGAGGGAGGGGAGGAGAGGGGAGGGAGGGGAGGAGAGGGGAGGGGAGGGGAGAGGGAGGGAGGGAAGGAGAGGGGAGGGGAGGGGAGGAGAGGAGAGGGGAGGGAAGGAGAGGGGAGGAGAGGGAGGGGAGAGAAAGACAGACAGACAGACAGAGATTATTCCTACCCCTAAATAACTTACATTCTGAGAATTTTGTAAAATGAGGATTGATATCATTAAAAGTTGAATTTCAGGAACCAGTGGTCTTATTATTGCCCTACAATCTCTAACTTACTCCCAAGTATTTGACTTCTTATTTAGGCTAGACTCATGTGACAAATATCTGACTAAAATGCAAAAAGGGGTGGGAGAATTTTTTTTTAATACACTAGATGGTGAGAAATGTTTGAATGACTGAGGTTGTATAGATTGGACAGCAGGATTTTTAGTAAGGTTTTTCAGTTTTCATCTAGATTCCACATATGATAGAAAATCTCCTCAGAGAAGTCTATTGATGGGATTAAATTAGTAAGAATTATATTCCTATTCAGTCTGATACCCTTCACTCATTCTTGTCTTCAGCATAGAGCAGTATACATGATGTCAGATTTCAACACGAAACCTAAAAATTACAGTAACCATTTCATTACTGAACATATATTTATTAAATGCCTACTATGTGCTACATAATGGGCAGCTAAGTGGCACAGTGGATAGACTGTCAGGCCTAAAGTCAGGAAGACTCATCTTGAATTCAAATCTGGCCTCAGACGCTTACTAGCTGTGTGACCCTGCATGAGGCAGTTAACCCTGTTTGCCTCAGCTCCTTATCTGTAAGATGGACTGCAGAAGGAAATGGTAAACCACTACAGTATCTTAGCCAAGAAAACCCCAAATAGGATGAAAAATGACTAAACAACAATAATGTAGGAAATATAAAGAAATGGAATATATAGTTGGCGCCTTATAATCTTATTGGACAAGATTAGCACATGTGAACTTTTAAAAGAACAATACAAGACAATATTGTTAGAGATATCACACATAATAAGTGACACAGGCTCAATAAACAATACTACACATACAGGCTATTATTATCATAAGAAGGGAGGAATCACTGTGGGCTAGGGAGAGCTAGTTAGGGAAGGCTTCACAGAAGAGGTAGAAATTAAGCTGCAGACAAGAAAATGGGTAGTATCACTAGAGAGAAAGGACAATTCAGTTAATCTGTGAGTAGGGTGGAATATGTTGATAATAATTATGATCTTAATAAATGAAGAAACTTGGGGAAGCTAGGTGGTACAGTGGATAGAGCACTAGCCCTGGAGTCAGGAGGACCTGAGTTCAAATGTGGGTCTCAGACCAGACACTTGACACTTACTAGCTGTGTGACCCTGGGCAAGTCACTTAACCCCAATTGCCTTGCAAAAAGAGTAAATAAATAAATGAGGAAACTGAGAATCACAAAGGTGAAGAGACTGACTCTTAGATCACACAGTTAGTGGATGAGCTAGAACGATAAGTGGGGTCTACTGACTCTCTTCTAGAGCTTTTTGCTTTCTTGGGATCAGTTTAAAATGAGCAGGCCTTCTTGATTCAAAGTAAATGACTTGCAGCATAACTGATAAATCAAGATCCATTGTACACTATATTTTTTAGTTGCAATTGGTGTCAATATCTTTTCTCCCTTACTTACTCCATCCCTAAAATAATTCTCCAAAATTAGTTACCCTGAATTTCCATATTTTGAAATTTTTCTAGTTGTATATACTGATAGTGGTTACTATTAAAAGCTTCATGTTCAGATACAAAGAAAATACACACACACACATATACACACACTCACTAACGTGTCTTTGACCTCAAATGTTGCTGTTTCTTATTTTCATATTGTTTCCTAGTAGGATTCTAGGCTATGATGTATGCTCTTGACTCTGAACATCAGTTTTCACAGTTCCATAGGCAACTCAGGATTAATCTTATTTATTCTTTAGGTAGACTAACTAGTATTTCATGCAGAGATATCCTTGGAGATATGGACTTTCATTCAGATATGGACTTTTCCCATATTTGTCCAATTAAACATTAAGACTGGAAATGCTATTCTGATTCTGAAAGAGTTAATGCACCTTCTCAAGTGTCTTCCTTGATACCCACAAAGGGACTCGGGGACTGGGGTAAGTGAGACTCAATAATCCTTCACATTCCTAACATTTTTTTTTCTATAATGGCACATTTTGGAGACTTTTCCTACCTGTAGTTTCAAAAAATTTATTCCGAGGGCCTCGATTTATATTGACATGATGCCAGCATAATTCAGCTCAGGGAAGTGTTAGTAGTAGCTTGGTATCATGTAGACAAAGCAACATTGATTGATTTTTCTCTTCTTTTAATCTGATTATGTTTGCAATATTCCCTTTAGGAAAGTATTTACCATCAGAGAAGCAAGGCGAGGGTTCTCACTAAGCTCCAGTAATAACTACACCCTCACAATATAGGACAGAAGATCAAGAAGCATCTCAAGATCCTATAAGGAAGGAAGGAATTAAGAACCTTACATGTGCCAGGCACTGTGCTATGCACTTTACAAATACTATCTCATTTTATCTTCATAATAATTGTGAGAGGTAGGTGCTATTATTATTACTATTTTATAGCCAAGGAAACTGAGGCAGGCAGATGTTAAGGGCTTTGCCCAGAGTCATGTAAGCAGTAAGCCTCTGATGCTGGATTTGAACTCAGGTATTCCTGACTTCAGGCCCAGTAATCCATCTACTATGCCACATACCGGCCTCCAACAGAATCAAAAGAATAGAGGGAACCTTTAGAGGTCACTATTCCATTCACAAAAACTATCTCAAATGACATAAGAAGGTGGAAACCATTTATGAACCTGTTGAATTTACATGACCTGTTGAATTGAATCATGTCAGGTGAATTTTTGTCTAATAAGACTTGAGTTACTTTCAAACGTAGCTAATAGTAGGACTAGGTCTAGTCTCATGAGCAATGCAATCAGTTTGTAAGTAAGACGAAATGAGAAAAGTGGAGTAGACTCTCTTGCTTCCACTTACCAGGTGCCCCTAAAATTTTCCTTGAAACTGAAATTTCATCACTAGGTATCACAGGCTCAATTAAAATTCTGCCTCTTGCATGAGGTTCTTTGACTTGTTCAATAGTCATCCATCTTTTTTTCTGAATTTCTACATCACTTAATTATATACTGTCTTATATTGTTGACTTGTTTTCATATGCTTCATCTATGGTATGGCACTTTGCATCTAGCAGGTGCACCATAAATATTTCTGGATTGTTTGATTTGCATGACTCTGATCTCCCCAACTAGAGTATAAGATCCTTGACAACAGGGATTCTGTTGTCTTTGTTTTCATTTGTTCTATATCCTTCCCAATATCTTGTGTAAAGGAGCTATGTCTGGAAACTTATAGGATTTTCCTCATGGAAAACTCTCTCAGAAAATTTAGAGGCAAAGAGTACAAGGATTCAGAAAGGAACTTTCAAGGATATATAAAAGAGAATATGGAAATGTCATTGAATTTGGAATTATGAGGTTGAAAGGCAAGGACTGAAAGAAAACATAGTGACGGCACAAGCATACCTGCCCTCCTTCCCCAAAACTATTCATTGTATTAGATCGGCGATAGTCAGGTGACATATACAGATGTATGTTTCAAATGCTTATTG